GTGTGGGCTCTATTCTCTCTGTTGAACTTTGATGTGAATGCAGGTATGTTTCCTGGGTCAGATTTGTATTTTGGCTGCCTGCGTTTCACACATATACGATTGGAGGGAGCCTTGTCGTGATTGTGAGAAGTAATCGACCCACAAATTTAAGCCTCTATATGTCTATGTATTGCTTATATACCCTTATGTATGGACAAAACATAGGCATGTTCGCTTGGGCCTGCACGTAGAGGGTAGTCGGGGACGCAACTAAGGGACGAGCGCCCCACTACTTTTCTTTTGCTTTTTGAAGTTCTTAGTCGGACGTTAGTCTTGAGCCCGCGTTCCAGGTCCTTGTCCAGGACAAGGCGGGTTCCGGCTCCACGAGATGGGGGGATTTCCTTTCAAGTGGAGCCTTGATGGATCGCCTACCACGACATCCTGGCAAAGGCACAGAGAAGTCGCGGAGGCCGAACGGCGCGTGCTTCAACCGTTCAATATCGTGAGGGGTAAGACCCCACGATATATTTTCCTTCAGCCATTCAATATCGTGAGGATATTACTGCGACTGTTTGCATCTTCAGATAGTGTCAGTCGATATGGGGAGGCCCTGCGACCGCGCAGGTTTATATTAGAATCTCGCGCGCGACGCTTATCCGAGTTCACATCGGAAAGTTATGGGTTAGTTACTCAAGGGACTAGGATAGAGCGGTTTGTTGGTTTGTGTCGTTTCGTTCGAGTGGGTACGTTTGTAAGCGTGTGTTATGTTTTGTTTTGTTGTTATGTGGTGTACGTGTGAGTGTAGAGTACGTCCTAGTCGACCGCCGACGGGTCGCGCTTGGGACTTCAACCACCCCAAGAAGACGACTCACGCGCGGGTTCGACAAAGGCGTAATACTGCGCGTACCCCCTATGCTACAGTGAACGAGAAACGCCCTCGGCTGGTCCACCTCTGCGATTGCAACAGAGTAGCTTTCGTATTGTGGCCTGGTAGCTCAGCGGGGATACGCCCACCGCAGGGAGGTGACAGCTCCCGAATGGTGGAGGTAAGATGTGCCTCGCGTAGGCCCTATCCTGTCGTAGGGGCTCGCGAGAGGTATGGCTGGKGCACCCGGCCGGAGCGGCCTATAGGAAGCTCCGTTGGATTGTGTTCATGGTTAGGTGGTCCTGTTCCTGCGTGACACGGCCGGGGGGGTCCCGCGCTGCTTCGTGCGGTGCCTGACCGATGCGCTCAACAGCGGTGTAGTGGCCAGGAGTATGTGGAATATAGGCACAAACGTGCGAACAGTGGTCCGGGTCGCCACCCGAAGGGGCACGCTGCGTATCAAGTCGGCGCCTTATCAAAGCAGTCTCCAAAACAGAGACATTGAATCCCCCATGTCGAGTGTAATTACTATCCTGTGGGGGATGCAGAGTCGGGTTATTGCTATATAACTCACGTTCCTGAGCATCAAGATCGGAAGCAATGGCCAAAAAATCAGAGTGAGTATATGGTTCCCGACGATAGGCTTGCAGACAGATGTTAGTAGCAGCGAGACCACACAGATTCGGTGGAGGCCAGTCAGGTGGATATATATATATATATATACATCGTACTGTTCCTGACTTCGCGCTTTTCTGACGGTCGTCTGTGCGCAGACTGTGACATTTGAATGTTAGAGACTGCCCAAGACGCCTCCGAAGCTCGAGGCACGACCAGCGTGGCTTCTTTGCAGAGGGCACCCTGTGATAGTCGCAATGTCACTCAATCTCTGTGTGGTGCGCAGGGGTTGTTGGGAGGATCACCGTACAGTGCTCGTGAGGAAGTGTGTTTGGGGAAAAGGCGCCGTGGTTGACATTTCGCCGAACACAGGCGACATCGGTGAACCGGGGAACATCTATCATTCGCCTATGCCGAGTTTGTTGGGGTCTTCTCCGCTCGGTGTGCGGGCGGTTCGTAATCCTTCCATGCATAGCACTGTGCTTAGTGCTTCATTGCTGCCGTCCCCTCTCCTCCCTAGATAGCTGGACTACGGGGCGACCGTCCCTGTGGCTCCAATTTGGACACATGCGGTGGGCCCGACATGTCGACTTGGTGGCGCTGCCATTCTGGGACGACGTGGCGATGCAGACCGTGCGCTGACTTCGCAGCCACGACTCATCGGTACGTCGACCACTTCAGAAAGGCAGTTGCCTCCCTGTGCCTCTGCCGCATGTCGCCCGACCCCTTCCACGAACAATGTTGATTGTGCAGCGCTCGCCGGTGGTACGCCATCTTCGACCTCGACAAAGATTGTTCGAGTGAGTGTGAAGGACGGATGTCGAAGGAGGTTGTATGCACTCCGCGATGCTATGTCCGGTGTCAGTGACAATCGTGGACCCGTCAGCAACGTTGTGGATCGTCTCCTCTATTGGTCGTTGCCAACTATACGGGCCGAGTTGGGCGGCACCATAGCTGCTGCAATCCCGGCGACATTGTCGTCATGAGTGTGTGGACCGGATTTTCGGTTGGGACATGTGCAGCATGATTCAAGTACTGACTGTCCTGACGGGAGTGATGATGCTTCTGGGAGCGGTGCGTGCGGGGAATCGTAGGACGGCTCGCAAAGCTCGTTCCCGTGGTCAGGTCGTGGTTCGCAGCGTAGTGAGAGAGGGCGCAGCCGGCCCCGCAGTGCAGGTCGCTCCACTGCGACGCCTGCACACCCGCAGACGTGGTCAGATTGCTGGGACGGTGTCTCGCAGTTTGGTCCCGACCCCGACTGCGACTGTGTCGAGGAGGCGACGGGATTGTGGGTTGGACCAAAAGTACCGGATGTTGTGCTCCTCGAACCGGTGAAGCTGCTTCAATTGATAGGACTGTTTCAATCCTCGCTACTTTATGGATTGCCCAAAGGCAAGATCCCTCTGGCAAGCCCTAGAATCATCGTGGTTTAAAATCTCAGACTCTCCCCTACTAATTAACCCCACCACACTATTCCTCGATCTCAACCAATCACCCTCACTCAAAGGATTCGAAGCCTTCCTCGCATCCCAAATCAAGAAAAGCACCCTATGGGCCATATGGAAAAACAGATGCGACAAAACCTTCGATGAACGACTCACCACCCCCGAAAACCCACTCATCATTATCCAACAACTAATAGACACTGAAATCCACGCCCTATGGAAAAAGTAACTCAAGAATCTCCCTACTGACCTAGACAAAATAAACCAAATAATCCAAAAATTCTCCTTCTCCAAACTGGGCAATGGCTACTTGGCACAATTAACAATGAAAGACTAATTCTCAAGAATTGGCTAACCATCACACAGATATAAAGCTCCCACACAACCCCCACACTCCATGCACAATCAGCCCCAATCCACCCTATCACCATTTACCCACCACCAAACCATCTAAGACCCCACGCCCCCCACCAGCCCTACCCACTCCCCCCATCACGCACCCCACACCCTCAACCGTCTGCCCCCACCTCAACCCAGCCCACGACAATCTACCTGTTGCACCCCCTCCACCCCTCCCTCCCCACTCCCTCCTTACAATACTCAGCACATCACGATAAACTCACATTCCTCAAATCAGCTATTCCCCAAAACACAACACCCCACCTGCCAAGTTCACCCTCAACTTAAGCCAAACAGTCCCCCTCAAGAGACATCTAAATCTCAGACTATATCCTCCAACCTCGTCAAGGTACGTTACAGTTACGTACCCCGAAGTTAAGTCAAAGGCACAGACATACCAAGCCAGGGTTTAGGGTTTTAGCAACAATTACGCGACAAATCCAGGTTCCCAGTAAAACAGGCTAACTTAGGCAGGGGTGAAGGGTGGTACATCCTTCCCCAGGGAAGTAATCAATGCCGTCCTTCGGGCCTCCACACCACAAGGGGGAGGAGCATGAGAGTGTATACATTGTAATCTTTTCAGACTTGCCGGTAGAATAGGAACCGGACTGACGCTCCCCAGAATGGACAAGGAGCTGGAACCATAAGGTTCCGTTTTAAAAAAAAAAAGAAAAAAAAAAGGAAAGAAAAAGATATGATGGTTTTGCGACACCCTGGACAGAATATGGAAAGGCAAGGGAAAAGAAGGGCGTCAAGGGTCGAAATGCATCACAAGTGCACTTTACAATGTCAATTGCTCACAAATACTCATGAATCGGTCTAAATAGAAGAACTATTTGCCCGTTGAACAATTGGCCAAACTTGGAGGCTGACATAACGTGGTGGAAGTGAAGTGGCACGTGTACCTGTCGGTCCTGACCTTTACACAAGGCACCTGCTTTGGACGTCGTACCACTTCAATTCCACCACGTTGTGTCAGCCTCAAGACTGGCCAGACGTCCTGGGGTCCAAGTCTTAGGGATCCCGCACATTCAATTTTCAGCAAATCTGGTGGTGCCCCATGTCCTCTGAAATGTGGCAATTGCTGCACCCGATGGTGGGACCCCCAAGAAAAATCTGAGGACGTTTTGAGATTAGGGGAAAAAAAAAAAAAAAAAACGGTTTACCAGCTATACCAGCCACTGCAGCAGGCCCTGCAGCAAATGCTGCACCAGGCGCAGCAGGCTCTGCAGCAAATGCTGCACCAGCTGCAGCAGGGCCTGCGGCACCTGCAGCATCAGCTTCCGCACTAGCTGCAGCAGGGCCTTCTGCGGCATCTGCAGCACGTGCTGCTGGAGCAGATGCTGCAACTGCAAGAGGTGTTGCTGAAGCAGCAGCTGCGGCATCTGCAACATGTGCTGCTGCAGCAGCTGCAGCAGGTGATGCTGCAAGTGCTGCTGCAGTGGCAGCTCCAGGAGTTGCTGCTGCAGCACAACCAGCTGGGTCATGTGCAGCAGGTGCTACTACAGCAGCAGCTCCAGCAGGTGCTGCTGCTACTGCTGCAGGAGGGGAAAAAAAGGAACAGAACAGGAAAAAAAAACGAAGAAGAAGAATGGGGGTGGAGGTGGAGGGAAGAGGTGGCGGAGGAGGTGGATGGAGGAGGTGGCGGGAGGCGGGCGAGAGGAGGGCGGGAGTAGGAGGACGTGGAGAAGGTGGCAGGAGGAGGCTGGAGACGGTGGAGGTGGGCGGGAGGAGGTGTGAGGGAGTAGGGCGGCAGGAGGGGAGGAAGTGGCGGGAGGAGGGCGCGGGAGGAGACGGAGGAGGTAGACGACGAGGTGGAGGAGGAGGAGGAGGAGGTCGGCGGAAGGAGGGTGAGAGGAGGCGGACGAAGTGGCGGGAAGAGGGGTACGGGGAGGAGGGCGGGAGGAGGTGGGCGGGAGGAGGCGGAAGAGGTGGAGGGAAGAGCTCGTGGGAGGAGGCGGAAGAGGTGGAGGGAGGAGCTCGTGGGAGGAGGCGGAAGAGGTGGAGGGAGGACGTGGCGGGACGAGGCCGGTAGGAGAAGGACGATGACGAAAACGAAGTGGAATAAGAGGAGGAGGAGGAGGAAGAAGAAGAGGAGGAGGAGGAGGACGACGACGAAAACGAAGATGAAAAAGAGAAGGAGGTGGAGGAGTTAGGAGGACATCGGAGGGGAGGGGAGGTGATGGGGAGGGAAGGTGTCGTGATGGGAGGGGAAGAGGAGGTGCTCAGCGGCCACGCTAATCTTCTCTGTCTCGATTAAGGAGGAGGAGGAGGACGAAGAGGAGGAGGAGGAGGAGGAGAAGAAAAAGAGGAAGATGAGGAGGAGAAGGAGGAAGAGGAGGATGACGAAAACGAAGACGAAGAGGAGGGGGAGGAGGAGGAGAAGGAGGAGGAAGACGAGGAAGAAGAAGAGGAGGTGGTGAAGAAGGACGAGGATGACAAAGACGAAGTGGACGAGGAGGAGGAGCAGGAGGAGGAGGTGGAGGAGAAGGAAGAAGAAGAAAAAGAGGAGGAGAAGGAGAAGGAAAAAGAAGGAAGATGAGGAGGAGGAGGAGGAGGAGGAGGAGGTGCTCACGATAGGGGGAAGGGGGGGGAAGGTCGCGCAAGGCAGGGGTGATGGCGATGTCGAAGAGAAGGGGAGGTGTCGCTATGTGGGAGCGGACTTTGCGCAGGGGAGGGCGAGTCTATGGCAAAGGGGAGGGAGGTGCACGGCCGCCTTCTTTTTTTCTTTCATCCTTGCGCAACGGCCATGATAATCGTCTCTGTGTCTATGTAAGAGGAGGAGGACAATGAGGAAGGGGAGAAGGCAGAAGAGGAGGAGGACAATGAGGAAGGGGAGAAGGCAGAAGAGGAGGAGGACAATGAGGAANGAGAAGGCAGAAGAGGAGGAGGACAATGAGGAAGGGGAGAAGGCAGAAGAGGAGGAGGACAATGAGGAAGGGGAGAAGGCAGAAGAGGAGGAGGAAGAGGAGGGGGACGAGGAGGAGGAAGAAGAAACGAGGAAGGTGAGGAAGAGGAGAATCAGAATGACGAAGACGAAGAAGAGGAGGAGGACGGCGACGAGCAGGAGAAGGAGGAGAAGGGGGAGAAGGAGGAACAGGAAGAAGAAGGGGAGGACGAGGAGGAAGAGGAGGATGACGAAAACTAAACGAAAGAAGAGGAGGAGGGGGAGCAGAAGGAGGAGGATAAGCCTGAATAAGGAGGCGGATCAGGAGGATGAGGAGGATGAGGAGGAAGAAGAAGAGAAGGAGGAAGAAGTTGAGGAGGACGAGGACGAGGAGGAAGAAGAAGAGGATGAGGAGAAGGAAGAACGGAGGATGACGAGGACGAGATGGAAGAAGAGGAGCAGCAGCAGCAGGCGGCGGAGGATAAGCCTGTAAGGAATAGGAGGCGGAGGAGGAGGAGGATATCGAAGGTGGAAGGGGAATGTTGTTGCGAGGTCGGGGGTGGGGAGGTCGCGCAGCGGAGCGGGAGTTGATGGCGAACGGAAGGCGACGTGCACACGACTTATTTTTTGTTTTTTTTTTAATCCTTGCGCAGAGGCCATGCCAATCTTCTCTGTCTCGATATCAGAGGAGGAGAAGGAGGATGAAGAAGACGAAGAGGAAGAAGAGGAGGAGGAGGAGCAGGATAACGAGGAGGACGAGCAGGATAAGGAGGAGGACGAGCAGGAAAAGGAAGAGGAGGAGGAGGAGGAGGACGATGACGAAGACGAAGAGAAAAAGGAGGAGGAGGAGGAGGAGGAGGAGGAGGAGCAGCAGCAGGATAAGGAGGAGGACGAGCAGGGCAAAGAGGAGGAGGAGGAAAAGGAAGAAGAAGAGGAGGAGGAGGAAGAGGAAGAAGAAAAAGAGGAAGATGCGGAGAGGTGACGGAAACGAAGAGGAAGAGCAAGAGGAGGAAGAGGAGGAGTAGCAGACCTACGTGAAAGACCGGAGGCGATGGCTGCTCGGCGACGCGCAGAACCCGTGTCCACGTTCTGTGAGCATCGACGTTGAATGCCGACACCGTCGTCGCGCGCGGCGGAGAGACAAAGCCGCGCGATCTCGAATTTCAAAAATGCCCGATCGGGGCTGTAGATCTTCAAGATCTAACGGCCTCACTCGGGCCTTATTTCACTTTTGGAGGCCCACCTGTCCTCGGAAAATTCGTCGTGGGGCCCTCGGCGGTAGAGTAGAGGGCGTCCGCCACTGACCGCCAGCGGCCCAATATGTGCGAAACCGGGTAAGCGGCATTTTTTCACAAGCCCCTCTGGCCCCGGGCGAACAATTGGGGTGGATGCCTGGGCCGCCCTGGTAGAACATAGGTGACTAGATACACTGCTACAGTAGTGGTTTAGAGCTTGAAATCAATGAAATGCCCTTTTTCCTGGCCGCGTGTGGGGTGGTACAGCCCTCAGTAGCTTGCTATTCGTTTTTCAATTTTTTTTTATTTCTTTTTCCTGTGATCGAAGAACGTTGGCTCCATCCACTGGCCTAGCTCGATCGGTTAGACACCCAAGTGACATTTGGGAGGGTGTGGGTTCAATCCTCATGGCATGGGCCATGCCCACCTGTGGCACTGTTGGTGCCAACTGGTGCTAACCAACTGTTAGTCAGCTGGATCCTCCCAGTTGGTATCAGTAAGGTGCTCACTGTCACACCGATTTTTCCTATTGCTCATTTCTGACCGGGTTAAGGGCCAGATCCCACTAGCCCCTATTGCTCATTTCTGACCGTTGATCTTCGTAATCGAGGGTGAAACATGACTAATCCAGGGTAGTGGGATCTGACCCTAAGGTCTTCAGCCAACACGGGTGTGAGTGCGCGTGTGGTGTGTTGCTTTTAGACACTACCATCCAGACAGAATGCTGCTCATGCCCCACTTCATAAGACCTTTGCCAAGCTTACTGTCTAGAACATAAAGCACGCCACCCGAATGGCTGTAGACCCGAATGGCTGTCTACAACATAAAGCATGCCAGCCGAATGCGATAACAGTGCGGCCAAATTCATCCAAGTGCGGCCGTAATTACGGTCCTATACATTCAGAAGAGTTTGTAGTGTGAGGACGCCCAGAAAGGTCGTTCTTCGTCTTCTGCTTTCCGAAAAGAGGAAATGATTTGCATCTTCACGGTCGTTTTGGAGGGGGATGGACACGCGCCACGAAGGTAACGACGGTGCAGCGAGCGTACGCGTGCGAGCGAGCGAAAACGGCAGTCGAGGCAGCGGGAAGATGCAACTTAGGAGACGGACGGTAGAGGGGGAAGTGAGGAGGATGACGGGTATGCGACGACGGAGGGAGACGCAGGCGTAAGCCCGAAGGCAGGCTGGCAGCGGAGGAGTACGAGTGGTAAGATTGTGCCGCGGGAAAACGTTTGCTTGCTTGCTTGCATAAGCTGGCCCCAACGAGAAAGACCGCTCGAGAGGGCGCCCTTTGACGCACGCCTACGAGTGCGCGCGCGCGAAAGGAGAGGCTTTGCTTGTGCCGTCTTGCAGGGCAACTGAGGAAGGAGGCGCGAGTTTTGCCGTTGGTGGCGGCGGCGGCGGCATTGACTGCGCCATGGCTGCTCCCTGGCTGTTGGTTGTGCTGTCTTCAGCGTGGTTTTTCCTGCTTGTGCAGGGAGGAGGTCTGAACCCTGCGATCGAATGGAATAGCCCCAAGGATCTAACGGCGGAGTTTCTGGCGCACAACACTAAACCTATCATGACGATCATTCACAAGAGGTGGTGCGGAGCCTGCCGGCACCTGAAAGAGGAATTATCCAAGGACGAGGCTGACGATTTTGTGAAGCTGAGCGAGGAGTGGGTTATGGTTGACGGCGGGGACGACGACGAGCCGAAGGCAGATGAATATGCCCCGGATGGTGGCTACATTCCGCGCATTATTTTCTCGGAAGCTAATGGGAAAGTTCGCAATGACATCGTTTGTCAGGTGGGCGGCAATCCATCCTACAAGTACTTTTACCATAGTCTCCATCAGGTCACGGAAACGATGAAGTACGCGCGGAACGTGCTGTCGCCACCTCAGCCATCGCCAACGCCGCTGGGCGACGACGGAGACGACGATGAGAAGACGGAGGAAGAAAGTGCTAAAGATGCACCACCTGGTGATGACGATTCTGTTAAAGTAGAGCTGTGAAGCGGCAGAGATGTATGTATGTATGTATGTGTGTGTGTGTGTGTGTGTGTGTGTGTGTGTGTGTGTGTGTGTGTGTGTTGTCATGTTCGCTAGGGACAACTCCACACGAAACGCGTGACTGGGCCAGACAGCTTCTTGTCGGATTTTTTGCCGACTCGTCAGGAGTCCGAACCCCGACAGACAGTCTGCCCAGGATGTGTGTGTGTGTGTGTGTGTGTGTGTGTGTGTGTGTGTGTGTGTGTGATATGACTTCCAACTTGTTGATGCCGAAACGAAGGTGTTGTTCGATTTACACGGATGGATAATGATGATGGAGAGTTCATCCCGAGGTGATGTGGGTGACGGTTGTATTTGTTTCTTCATACCTTTTTTTTTTCCGTTTATTTCGTATTCCAGAGCAGTACGGTAGATAGAGATTACGTCTACGAAGCAGATACACATTTCGATTTCCGTTTTCCTCCCCGCGTTTTTTTCGCTTTCCGAAGTGGAACGAAATCGATGAATGTTTTTTTTGTGAAAAACCCTTTTTTCCATCGTCCTCGTTCTTATCCATCATCGAGATCTTCGTTGATGTTGTCGGGATCGCAATGTCGGTTCCTTTGTATCAACGAAAGAAGTTATGTTTATTCTTCTTTTTAAACCACCACTACCTTTCCCATATGTCGGCCGCGGGCACCTAGTAGCCTACTCCTGAAAAATAGTTGCCACGCCGCCATCGATATTTTTCATCGACGGCGCGTGGCGGCCGAATTTGAATTTCAGGCCCGCGGCCCCACATATGAGAAAGGTAGTGGTGGTTTAAGTCTTCGTCGAGCGGATATGTTTTTCTCGAAGACTCGTCGGGATCGCAGTGCCGCTGTGCCAATGCTGCCACTTTGTATACTTCGAGATGGTCTGATATGATAAGCAGGATTCGCCTTGTTCTCCCTCTCCCCCCCCTCTTCTTCCTCCTCCCCTTCTTCCCCCTCTTCTTCCTTCTTCCCTTCTTCCTCCTCCCCTTCTTCCTCCTCCTTCTTCCTTCTTCTTTCTCGTAACGAATGCATTACGAGACAGGTACTAAAGTCAACTGTGACCCTGCTTGCCGGTATTCTTGTTCTTCTCGGTCTCCTCTTTTTCCTCCGTCCTCTTCTTCCTGCCGTTCATGTACTTCCGCTGCGCTTCGTTGTATTTCTCGACATTGCCGCCATCGCTGCCACCGTCTTCAACGACAGGTAGCGTGTTGGAGATTGATTGACCAACTGGTAATTAGTTGGTCTGATCCTTTTCGCGACTGGAGCGATTTCAATTCCTTCGTGTCTTTTCCGTCTCTCCGCTAACCCCATCTTGATTCTTCTGTCATCCCTCCTTCACCATTGGGCACAGCCGCCTCTGCTGCGATGACGTTTCTTGAACTTCGTTGTTCAGCTCTCTGACCTCTCTCTCTCTCTCTCTCTCTCTCTCTCTCTCTCTCTCTCTCTCTCTCTCTCTCTCTCTCTCTTTTTGGGCTTACTCTTGGTGATGGACGTGGGACCGTGGTGATGGACGTGATAAGCAATCAATCCTTGGAAGCATTGCGACATCACCAATGTCAGAAATGAACGTACGTGATCGGGAAAACGGCCAGATGCGTCGGAGAATGGCCCTGTCTTTTTTTCCACTACATTCTATAGAGGCCCTTGCTCTTTTTGACTCTATCAAAATTTTTGCCACTACTTTTTTGAACTTTCAGAATTTTTCGATCTTTTCATTTTGGAAGTCTTCGAGTTGGTGGTTCTTGACACCACAACTACGGGGGTGCGCTTCCGCTTGATGCCTATGCCCGCCCTTTCTAAAAATTTCGTGCTTAGTTGGAAATTGCTTAGGGTGTCCACTATAGTCAAGCGCGTCTTATGGGCTGACCATCTTTTCTGCTTTAGACCTTGTCCATATGCGCCACATGTATTGGTTTGGGCATCACGTGGGTCAAAGAAAAATGGGTTGTGTTTTGTGGATCTCGTTTGGCCACATGCTGCAACATGCATGATAGGTCGCTCCCTTCCTGTACGCCTTGTGTGAAATCATTGTCAGTCCGCAAGGTGTGTCGTTCGAGAGTGGACAAGGTCTATTGCACGACCACACGGATCTTTTAGTAATCGACCAAAAGACCATGCGTCCCTCGTGACAGAAACAGTAACACGAGTTCTGCTCGTTCAACAATCATTTTCGCAATCTGAGGTGGAACTTCTGCCGTTGAAATTGCGTGAGGCTATCGCGAAGGAGCCTGCAGTCGGGTTACTTGTTGGTTTATGTTGAATTGAGATGAAGATGCTTAACTTTAATGCAACACCTGACTCTGAAGTGGGAAATGACGTTGATGTTGAGGCCATAAAACGTGCTTTCAACAATCCTCTTATACCAGAGCGACGAAGAGTATCGTGTATGCCAGGACTCCTGTTTGGTTGTGGTGAGTACGAAAGTCGTCATCATAGTAACGAGAATAATGATTATGGCTAACCAAGCTATGCTGACAATGACGATGACATCATCAAAGTTCAAGGCAAGGAAGAAAACATCATTCCTGAGTACGGTGCGCCAGACGGCATGTACACAAGCTGATCGTCGTCGTGCGGTGTACTCAACGGAGAACAGAGGAAACACAGTTGCGAAATTAATAAAAAAGTCTTAAGGAGGATAACGATTGCGGATATGGATCAATCATCTCAAAGCAACTGTTGTCGGCAATGTTGTGTCCAATTTTTTTTTAAGAGACGAGTTATTTCGTGAGCTCGCACATTTTGGTATATGAAGCAACCCGATCACGTCAAGTAGCTTCTTCAGAAGACGAGGAGAGTATCTTTCCTTAAAGAAGATGTATCTCTCGAGAAGCTACTCATGGTATTCTCTCGTAGATGTGTCTGTTCGGTAGCTTGGGGTCTTTTGACCGGTGTCGGGACCTGTGGTTCCCGAATCAAGTCCTGACCCTTGAGAGATGATATCAGGAAAGTCTAACAGGGTGAGGCCCTACAACGGTCTTTCAAGGACACGAGTGGTTTTGATACGGCATAAACTAAGGGATGCCATCATAACTTATGAGCATGGCAATAGAAGCTCTATGAGTTTTGACTTTGACTTCATTGATTGCTTTGTCATGGATGAAAATGTATTTCAAATGCAATATTGAGTGTCTGTCCAATCAATAGTGACAGGTTTCACCTGTGCAATGCATTGACTAAGAAAGTTGTTTATGAGGTCTTTTGTGCGCCATGTCGGATTTGTTTTCGAGATCAACAACTTCCTTTGGTTCCGGCGTTTTGAAGATCTGGAAGATAGAATGTCCGAAGGTCTGCATTCAACAAACAAAAGTTTATCCGTTTGTGCCCAGTGTTTTTTTTCAAGGGTGGTCGACTACGTGACCGCAATGTCGCTGCTAGTGGTAATGTCACTTCTGTGGTACATACGACTGTTGTAAATTTATGTTATTCGTTGCAGCTGGACGTCGTAAATTTATATTATCCCTTGAAGTTTCAGTTAGTTATGTGGTAAGCCTACAATAATATGTATTTGTAGTGTAAGGTTCAAGTAATTGTGGTAAACAGACATTACTCATGCATATTCGTTTTGTAAATGTCACCGTGCCGTCGCTTTCATTTTTTTTTTTTTTTTTTTTTTTTTCGCTTTCAAAAAAATTCCAAAAGGCTTATAACGAGCATTTGACTGCTCAGGAGACAGAGAGAAGAAGATAATTAGTTTGTCTTGCCAAAATTGACAATAATCCATAGCGGTATGTTGCGATCATCATTGATGGAATGGATCAATGTAAGATCAATCTTCCACACTTTCAAGAGAATGTCCAAAGATCCGAAGATAAAAGAAGCAAACTTTGTGAAGGTGCATGACGTTGGGGCAAAAGTGTTGGGGCAGGAGTCGAAGGCTTATGCAATGTGTTTCCTTCATAACTTCAAAGCAGACTCTAGCTGCATGTTGACAGCTCTTTATCGTGTGATTGCAGAACTCTCAACACTTCTCCCAAAATTATGTTTTTTGCATTAGATAACACATCAAGGTTCAAGGGATAATAAAAATAATTATGTCCTGACATACCTCATGTTTTCGATAAGAATGTATGTGTTTGAGAAAGTGGAGCTTAATTTTCTTTTAGTTGGTCATACTTATGCAAATATTGATAAGATGTTCAGTTGTTTTTCAAGGGCATTGAGACATACGGATTCTCATGATTTGGTAGCGCTACAAAATGTCATTGCTCCTCTTACAAAGTATCGTGTCGTTCGAGTGAAACGCGCCAATGAAGTATTTGATTGGAAAGGCTAGTGTGTGGAAGATCATCTTCATAAGATCAACGCCATTAGCTTCGATCAACGTTTCCGGGTTAAAAAAAAAGCAGAAACGATGAAGTAGCACCATGGAGAAAACAATTTGCGACCTCATCATGGCATTCCATAAACGCAAAGGTATAAATATTTTCAGATCTTTGCCCGACGGTGAATTATGGACCAAGACACATTATTTGCAGCTTCGAGGAGAAGAGCAAAGGCGGCAATGGAGGACCGTGAGATTGATTCGACTTTATCACTTCAGCCGATTCGTGCAAATGTAACTCCATTTCAAAAGTATCTCACAGTTGGGAGGGCACAGTGGTGAACCTACTGGTCGGCTGGTAGAGAGTCAAGAAAGGAGGAGGCAAAAAAGTATGTGACATCGAGGTTTCTGACGAAGCATTTCAGGGGTTGGTCACGATAGAAAGACCTGTTTATATAGGATCACGGAAGCCACGAAGAGGGGATGAGAGAAAGAGTGGGAGTTTCAAGGATCTACAGGAATTGCTACGCATGCAATGAAAGGTCAAAAGGAGAATGGTACACCTTACTTTATTGCAAGGTTGAAAAAACTTTATATAGATGAGAATAAACTTCTTGTAAGACCTGTTTATATAGGATCACGGAAGCCACGAAGAGGGGATGAGAGAAAGAGTGGGAGTTTCAAGGATCTACAGGAATTGCTACGCATTCAATGAAAGGTCAAAAGGAGAATGGTACACCTTACTTTATTGCAAGGTTGAAAAAACTTTATATAGATGAGAATAAACTTCTTGTACATTGGTATTCTGAAACATGACAAGGAAAGTATCTTCCTTATAATAAGAGAGACGAGAAAGGTAGGGTCACAAAACAATTTATCGAACAGAAACTGTCATGGAATTGTGGAGTCTTGTGCTACAATTTTTATTTGAGAAGTGATCAAGGTCTTTAGTCTAAAACTTTGCAGACGATCTATGAGACATAATTACAGGAATTAAAACTTGAGGATAGTAAGACTTCAGGTGACTCTGATAGTGATGATGAATCGCATTAGGGTAATAAAAGAGGGGAAAGGCTGGAGAGTGTATCGCCCAATGACCCCGATTGAGAACCTCCCCTTTGATCCCCAAGAATGAAGATGGTCGTGGAAAGGCAGGGGAAGGTGGGGACGTGGGGAGGAAAGAACGGTACTGTTAGCTGCCCTAAAAACGAAGTCGGTCTACCGAATGCTCAGACCCAAGTGTAGGCTACGAGACGTGGTTGAGGACAGATGGCGGCGCCATCTTAATGTAGATAGTAAGCACGCTCAAACCTATCCAATGGTTGAGTGAGTATCAGAAAAGGCCGACAAAAATCTCCGCTCTTCAACGGCAAATTGCCCATCGATGCCTGCGGACCAATGACTGGCTGATTGATCATACGCAGCTAGAACAAGAAGGAAGGGCGCTCCCCTGGTGCCGGGGTTGTCACCAAAACTTCCCCGGAAAAAAACGCCCCGAGACAGTTAGCACATTTTTCTAAGATGCCCTGCAGCTGTCTTATTATGGCGATGGTGGGATAGGATCTGGCGGCACATCGTTCCAAGTTCATCATGGCCTCGGGACTGGAGGGCAATCCTGCTAGGACACTACCCCCAGTTTTGTGACAACACCTTTGTGGCGAATATGTACTCTCTGGGCAGGCGTACTGTCCTATGGCCTATATGGTGGAGAAGATGCATTTTGGAATTGGAGGGGGCCAGGGTGGAAGAGGGGGAAGTCACAAAGCAGATACGACGACTGCTTTTCCAACATGAGATTACGGCACAATGGCAGAGAGTTAAGGAAAACCTGAATCAGGTGCACAGCAAGGTAAACATTAAAAAAATTATCTCCCGTTTTTGTGAAGACTGGCTGGGGGGGAAGAGGGAGGGCTGGGTCGCGAGTGTGAGCTGGACAGGAGAGGCTGGAACAGCAGCAGAACGGAGGACATGGAGACGGCCAAGAGGGCGATTTGGAAAGAAACTATCAGCTTCACTTTAAGGATTGGACAAGGGTGGATCCCAAAGAGCAGTTGAGACCTGCTCAGGATTTCGCTGATCCCTTTCCCCCTCACCCGCTGGCCCTGGAGGAATATCTGGGGGACTAGAGACATTTAGAGTTGATGATGAATTGACCCCAGGTTTGAGTGGGGGTTCTGAGTAGCCGTTTAATAACCTTACAGCCACAGCGTAACTCGACCCGGATTCTATATCAGACCAGCCTATATCCGGTCACTTCATCTCACTCAACCCACTCTATCTCAATGAGACCCAGAGAGGACGATGCTCAGACCTTTCTCAGATCTTTCAGGACTTTTCAGTTTTCTTCGGATATTCAGATTTTTCCTTTTTTCCCTTTTTTCCCTTTTTTTTGTTTTTTTCCTTTTTACTTCAGATTTTCTTCAGATCGCCTTTAGACACTTCTTCAGACATTCTCAAAGGATAGTGCGGTAGTGTGACCAGGAAGGTGGGCTGGGGAACAAACAGGGACCACTGGTGGCCCCCAGTAGCCCTGCTGGGCCCCAGCCCTGGGTCTTGGCTTGGAAAGTACAGGATAGTTAGCGAAGGGACGCTGGACCCGGTTTCCAGCATGCTATCTCATGATTCCTCATGATCCTTTTCTCCCCAAAGTGTTAGGGACGCTGAACCCGGTTTCCAGCAGGTGCTGCTCCCCACTAATAGATGGAGCCTGCCTGGGGGTGCTAGAGGTGGCTGATTATACCAGCACCTCTAGCATCACCACCAGGGATGTGTTTAAAATTAAAGAAAAAAAAAGAAAAAAAAAAAAAGATGATAGAATAGGGCGGCCCGATGGGTATTTACCTGAAGGAGACAAATGATGAGCATAAACCCTTGCATTTGTTGAAAGGCAGCCAAAGATAATGTGGTTAACTAGTACAGAGTCGGACGTGTTGTTGTAAATATGTACAGGTTCATTTGTGTAAAGTTTTGTGCTTATTTTTATTTTATTTTTCTGTAAATAGGCCTCGTATAGGCCTGTTAATTACAAGGTAAGTGTAGGTATTGCTTACACTCCTTAATAATTCAGTTATTCATAAGTTATGTTATGGGACACTGGGCCCGGTTCCAAGCTCGTTACCACTGATTGAAAGTTCATTAGAGGGCGTTGGACTTGTTTTCCAACACACTTAAGAGAAGGGACGCTGAACCTGGCTTCCAGCCTAGCCAAAACTGGGTTCTACCCCAGTACTCCGGGTCGAGATCTGGAGGGATCCCGACCTCCTGTTCTTTTATCGTAACAATATACGCAAATATAACAAAAAACAAAAAGGTGGTGTGGAATAAGTACTCATTAGCCAGTTGTAGATAAGACTCTTCTTTTCCCATCTTTATAAAATTATACATAGAAATTGTTTTATTTTTATTTTTATTTTTATTTTTATTTTTATTTTTTTCTTTCCAGTATATTATTGTGATATGACTTCTGTTTGACAAGTGATAGAGGTCTTTACTAGAAGACCACATACACGGCCCTACTCCATAAAGGGGTGGGATGGACGGGTTATGTAAGCCGTTGTTCTGCAAGGGCATGCTATTGGAGGGAACAGTATGTCTTTAAGGGAGCCGGGGCGGAAATCTGTAGATTTCTCCCTCCGTTTCATCGTCGTCATCTCCCCTTCCCTACACATTCGCAGTTTCACATTCACAGTTTCACACACACACACACACACACACACAGACGTAGTTGCGAGAGGTGTGAGAGTGCCTGGAGGGTGGAAGTTGTTGGATCTGTTCTGAAAGATTGTAATTTCTCGGGGTCTTGCAGTTTTCTCCTAAAATTTTCTTGTTGTAGTCCTGCACAAATACTTGGGAAACCTGTTGTTTAGCATCCTTTCTTGGATTTTCAGAATATGTTTGGCCGCTTTCAATAATTATTGATTCAATCAGAATAATGATCTGTCCGAAAAAAAATAAAAAAATAATGATAGATAGGAACCGACTGCTGAACTTGGAGGTGAATGTGACCAGATTCCCGAAGGAAGTTTTGCTGATATATTCTCCAGGGAAAATGCTGAGGCGTCTAAGCCGCCCTTGTATGCGTGCGTGTTCAATCGCGCGCACATCATTCGACCAAGACCGATTCTCCGTTCATCTATATAAATGTCCATCGTGGTACTGAAGTAATAATCCTTGGAAAAATGGGTATTTCTAATAGATTAGTATAGAGATAGACAAAAACGGGCCTGAAAAGCCCCCCAAAACAATTTTGGGGGCTCAGCTCCTCAGCAGGGCAGGGTCCTGGACCCTTTTTTCTATTCTATTCCCCCCCCCTCTTGAAATCTGGCTCGAATCCCTCTTCTGCCAGTCATCCGGACCTTCCCGACCGGCCGTCTGGAGCATGGTCCCACCCACTGGCAACGGGATAGGATAAAAAAGAGTTTGTGTGGCAGTTGAGTGACCCGAATCTTTGCTTCTTACTTGCCTTGCGGTACTCGTGAGTGATCCCACGGTCAGTATTTCACATGTGTTACCTCAAAAAAGTAAGGACGATCTTTGTTCCCCTCCTCCTCTCCTTAACACGGGGCATGCCCGTGCAAAGAAAGCTTCCTGCCGGAATCTTTTCAATCCGTTTGGGGTACGGCCAAGGGTGGGATCGGCCATAGGCCCACTGGATAGAAGATTTTCAGTATTTTGCTTGCTGTTGTGCAATTATCTCATTGGCGGGTGGAGCCCTCCTTCCATCACGGAGTACATATATGGAGCGCGTCATGATCACTGCTGACAGAAATCGAGTTTTTACTCCAGAAAAACGTGGCAGTTACTTCGTTCACTGCCGTTGCAACCACCACCACCACCATCGGATCATTTGTGATCTGATGGCAGGGAAGCACTCTGCCGTGATTTCCGGTGGGAGGTCTCTGTTTCCTTTTCTTTTTTTTTGCCTTTCTCCTGTTTTCTCAGTCCATAAAATCATACTGAACCTGTCAGGCCGCTGCCACTCAGTGTCACACTAGATCGGCCACACTCCTATCGGACTGCTGATGGGACCATGCTCCTGGAGTCGGGACTGAATCCAGACCATCGGGACTGCGGTCCGGATGGTCCACATCGTAGACATGGTATTCATTCATTCAGTCAGTCGTTTCATTTCATATCGGTCGAATTCTTGTGACTGCATACTCACCGGCGCCGAAGTCGCCCTCCTGTCACTGGCCAATTTCCTCGAGATTGCCGATGCTGTGCGGGGAAGCGACAAATATGTCTGTTGGAACCCGCAACCAGTCCCATCTGCCTTGTATCCATCTGCCTTATATATATATCGTTTGTGACGATATATATATATATACTGCCCGGTAAACCGTAGGCAGAGAGGGAGAAGAGGACAACAAACGAGGGGCTGTGACAAACTGTTTCGTCAGAGTTTCACCGACTCGTCAGGAGGCTGAACCCTCAACAGTCTGTAGAATCCCCTCACTGAT